GGAGAAGAGGAAGAGGCAAAGTGGAACCATATGAAAGCACACACAGCCTTGCTTGTGGCCGGAAGCTTCTGATTTGTCGCCTTTCATGCGATCAGCTGTTGGGTTAGATAGTAGGAAAATACGCCGGTTGGGGCAAGAGCAGCACTGTGATTTATTCTCAGCCCAGCTGTACTTGTGTCTCTTGTGCCCTTCTTTAGATGCTGGCTGCTGGTTTGTGTGACTCGGGGCAGCTTGTTTCTCAGGCCCCATGTGCCCCTTCTTTAAAACGAGTCTGTAGGCCAGCAAGATAGCTTAGAGGATAAAGGCATTGCCGCTAAGCATGGTGACGTGAGTTTGATTCCCAGGTTTCACATAGTAGAAGGAAAGAACCAACTGCCACAAGCTGTCCTGCGTCTGTACTATGACACGGGCACTCCCTCAGAAATCAAACCAAACAAACAAACATAATTTGAAAGAAAGAAAGAAGGAAGGAAGGAAGGAAGGAAGGAAGGAAGGAAGGAGAGAAAGAAAGAAAGAGAGAAGAAAGAAAGAAAAAGGAAAAAGAAGAAAGAAAAAGGAAAGATAGGAAGGAAGAGGAAAGAAAGAAAGGAAAGAAGAAAGAAGAAGAAAGAAGAAAGAAAGAAGAAAAAGAAAGAAAATAGTCTCTCTGATGGGGCTAGAGAGATGGCTCAGAGGTTAAGAGCACTGACTATTCTTCCAAAGGTCCTGAGTTCAATTCCCAGCAACCACATATAGATGGCCCATAACCATCTATAATGAGATCTGGTGCCTTCTTCTGGGCATGCAGGCAAAGTACTGTATGAATAGATACATCTTTAAAAAACTAGGCTCAGTGGTTAAGAGCAGTGTCTGCTCTTCCAAAGGACCAGAGGTCAGTTAATTCCCAGCACCCACATGGCAGCTTACAACTGTCTGTAATGTCAGTTCTAAGGGATCTGATACCTTCACACTAGTGCACATAAAATTAATTATTTTTTTTAAAAAAGTCATTTTAAAAAAGTTTTAAAAAACTAGTCTCTATGAAAACCTGTCCTGGGGACTGACATGCGTATGCCAACAGGCTAGATCCCATGGTGACAGGCACTCACCTTTTTTGTGACTTATCATTACCATTGTCTGGTATGAGGTTTTGCTATGTTGCCTATGTGGGTTTCGAACTCTTGAAGTCAAGTGAACCTTCTGCCTCAGCCTCCTGAGTAGTTGGAACAACAGGCATGTGTCACTGTCCTATCCCCAGTTAAAGCTTTCTTTGCTGTGCTTGGGCTGAACCCAGGTGCGAGTACCCAGTAGTTGCTGTCCCTTGGCTAATGGCTACACTCCTTTGTGCAGTAAATTGCTTTGCTCTGAACCTGCCCTTCAGAGAGAAGGCAGGTCCTGTCCCAGCAGCATGGTGTTATTATTCCAAGTCACTGGAAATTATTAAGTTGAACCCCAGCAGCCTGGGTTGGTCAATGCCCTTGGTGTTAGATGAAAGTTCTGTCCAAAGGCTGGTGAAGGCAGGTAGATGAGATGGGCAGTCTGGGGAGCAACCAAAGGCTGTTAGGCGGGCTCTGCTTCTCACCAACCCACAGCACAAAGTAGGCTCTTAGGTATTAGGACTTGATCATTCAGTTACATCACTCTGTAAACTCATGATTCTTGATGCCCTAACGTGTGACACAACCAGTGGGTGGGAGGAGCTGAGAGGAGAAGCTTCAGGTAATTGATGGGGTTACAGAGATGAGCAGCCACCATTGTCCAGCATGATCTCAGGCAAAAGACCCCCCCGGTCCACTCCCAGGAGACCCAAGAGTAGATTGAGAACCCTCTTCAGCCAGTGGGACACGTTACTCGGCCAGGGGTCCCCTTGTGGCATCTGTGGGCACAGCAGTAACCCGGGAGACTTGACAAGGGGCAGGGAAGAAGTCTCTACCAGTGGTATTAGGACAGCCAGCTCAGTGTCACTCCAGGAACGCCTAACGGAAAAGTGGGGCATAGAAGGGGGATGTGATAAGATTGTTAGATTGAACAAATAAAAGCAACTGTTCTGTATAACATGTGAGACATGGCCAGACTGAAGTGGGCTTCATTGTGAATCTGAAACTCCCTGGTCAGCCTGCAGTTTTGAGAGTGTTTTAAAACCCTCAGTGTGGAGGGTTTTAAAACAAACTTGCATGTTGAGGGAGGGGATAGCTAGTAGGCCAGTGTTGGGAAGATGGAAGGATGGTAGGATGAGGGCAGGACTGGCACGCGGCCACACTGTATAGTCTGTTCTTGTTTCCAGTGACCCTCTAGTGCCGTTGCCCCAGACTAGATTGTCTTTGATCAGAAAAGGGACTTTTGCAAATGGAACTTGAAAATATGGTCCAACTTGAGAACTTATTCTTAAGAGACCTGAGCAGATGAAGAGCCAGCCAGCCATGACCCACCCCAGTGTCTATGTGGGGCATCCTGTGTCCTGCATCGTGTCCATGGCTTTCCACCGTGTGCCGCCACAGTAGGGGCTCAGCTAACTGTATGTTCGTCTGTGGTTGGTCGGGACTTGTGGGCTTGCAGAAGCTCAGGGTCAGATTTTTAAGGGTGGCTTGTCTCTGACATGGTTTGCCTGCTTTGTTTGACAGACATATCTATATCTATATATCTATATCTATATCTATATATCTATATATATATATATATATATATATATATATATATATATATATATATATATATATATAGTTGTTGTTTTTTTTGTTTTGTTTTGTTTTTTTAAGCGAAGCATTGTCCAGAGACCTCCTGGTTCTTCCTTTTTACCATTGCTGTGACTCTTCAGGCTGGGTTTGGGGTTTTGGTTTGGTGGTTACTTGAGACACTGAGAACTGAACCGAGGACCTCATGCACAGTAGGCAAGCACTCTACCACTGAACTATCTTTCCAGGAGTCTATTTTCTCTTGAGACAAGTTATTCTAGTTGGCTTTACAACTCACTTTACAACCCAGGCGGTCTTTGAACTTAGGATCCTCCTGCCTCGGCCTCCCTAGTATTTAGGATTACAGGATGTACCACCAGGCCTGGCCATGCTGACATGGAACTCACAGGCTCAAATCCTCCTCCTCCCTCAGCCCCCTAAGCAGCCAGGATTACACATATACACATCTGTGTCCAGCTGGAAACAGAGCCCGTTTCCCAGCATTTCCCATCATCTCAACAGCCTGGCTGATAAAGGTGAGCTGGCATGCCAAGCATCCCTCAGCACCCTCTGTCTGAAGCAGCATGGTGCAATTTGGTGCAGAGAGGGCTGGCATTGTTAGCAGACAGTGGGACATTGGGTCCAGGCAAAGAGGACTAGGAGGTGTCAGAGCTGACTTGAACATACATGCTTTCCCTGTGTAAAGGAGTCCCTAGCAGCAGCCCAGTGGCATGAATGGTGGCATCCTTGGTCGCAGGCTGCAACATGGAAGGTGGCATGGAGGTGCCAGGGTCATTTTATTGGGCCCATAAAATGCATCCAGTGCCTCAGATCCAGCTGCCTCATCAAAGCTTGTAGGGCACTCCCTTCCACAGCAAAGGGGGTCCTAGGCAGAGGACTAGCTGTCACAGTTGCAGTAGGGGTCTGGGAGGAGCTTCGTGCCTTAACTGCTCTCTGTTCTTAGAAACCAGCGTGACAAGAGTGAAGGACCTTGGGTGTCACCTAGCCCAGGATTGGATTTCTATGTTTACTGCTGGCTTTTGTGGGAATGTTGGGTAGCTAAATGACTCTGGACCTCAGTTCTCTAATCTGAAAAATAAGCAAACAGGATGCTTTGCAATACCTGGCTCAACATGGTATGCAATACCCAGCAGGTACTTAGAGGTGATAAGAGAGGATTATCGCCAAAGCTAACGTTGAAAAGACCCTGCCTGTTGGTTGGTTGGCTGCTCAGGTGCATGGGGACCAAATTCTGAAAATGAGCATGTCCTGCTTTGCCTGGAAGTGTGTGCTTCTCCTTGGGGGCCAGTGTATGTGCAAAAGATGGACCATCCATGGAGCAAGAGATGTTCCAGGGCTGGGTGGCACTGTCCACACTGAGCTGTGATGTGCCCTGGGACAGCAGCCTGAAGCATCAGAGCCTGCTTGTGCTAGTGATGCTGGCCTTTGGGAGAGACACAGGACCTGAGCTACAGGTGGCCCCCTTTGTAGACAGTCCCTTTTCCAAGAGTTACTGGTATGTTAGCAGCCCTGTGCCTGGTAAATGATGAGGCAGGGTCCCCATAAACCCAGGCCCTGAAATGAGAAAGTCAGGACATGGAAACAGTGTGGAAGTGACTCAAGCGGAAAGGCATCCGCTTCTGCCGTCCCTTCCTGGAATATTCTGGTGGGGACTGATGTTTGTGTTGGGAGGAGGCAGCCCAACCTGCTCCCTCAAAGGCTGCAGTAGGAGTTGGCAGCACCCCATGGTTTGTTGTACCCCCCGTCATCCTCCCCCCAAGCCACGAAGCTGTCTAACTGGCATCCTCTGCTGTATAGCCCAGGTAAAGCTTCAGGTGAGCTGACTGTACTCTGCTGAGGACAGCACATGGATAACTACCTCTATAGCAGAAACAGCCGGCTATGAGCAGCCTGGTAACGCTTGGCCAGGGGCCTGGAAAGAGCTGGAAACTCCACCCGGCATAGGAGCCTGCGGGAGTTCTCCAGAGCCCGTTATTCTTTGAGTTCTTAGCATTCCTGTGTATTGGAAGTGTTTGCCTTCTTCTCGGGGCCTGAGCTGGTATTTTGTCCACCAGAGACCAATACCCAGTGCACACATCCTCATTCAGACCACCCTGGTGGTCAGGTAATTAAAGCCACACCTGAGTTTGGAAAGACGACATTGGAAGTCACGCTCCACGACAGCTCACAACCAGGTTTCTTTGTAGAGAGACACGGTTGGTGTCGGGCACATGTGGAGAGGAACGGACAGACTCGGAATCTTGACAGGGCTACAAGCCAGATGTTAGCCTGGACCTGAACTGGAGCTGTTACTGTAACCACACGTCCCCTTGTCCCCTCTTTCTCCAGGTTCCCAGTCTATGTGAAGATCTCCTGTCTTCTGTTGACCAGCCACTGAAAATTGCCAGAGACAAGGTGGTGGGCAAGGATTACCTTTTATGCGACTACAACAGAGACGGGGACTCCTACAGGTGAGCTCACAGCCCGCAGTGCTTACCTCCAGCACCGAGGCCTCTGCGCTGGCACACTGGTGGCCTGGCCACCCATTGTTCTGTTTGTCCTTCCTCCTCCTCCTTTCAGCTAACCGTCTGATCCACTAACGGGCCTATGTTTGTGCCTCCCCTGAACATGAAAGAGAGGGCTGTAGTGTCTTGCAGTCTAATGGAAGAGCCATGCTGTTTCAGGGCCAGCTACCCTGATGGGGTGGTGTGTCCATCCTTCCGCCCTTCCTTCCTTTCTTCCTCTCTACTTTCCTTTGCCATCACCATGTGGGCTGCTGCAGGAGGCCAAGTTGACATTGGTCCCTGCCCAGGAAAACACATCTAGTAGCTGATGAGTAGCTATACCGGGATCCGCACAGCCAGTTGAGAACTGGCTCAGGGCCTTGGGGAAGACGCCCAGAAGAAGCTGTGGTCAACTCCAGAAGGACTGGTAAAGGAGATGGTCCTGGGCTAGATGTTTTTAAAGGATTCACTAACTAACCAACCAAGTAATTGTTTTGAGATGGCCTCATATGTAAACCTTGTAACTCTCTGTAGACCAGGCTGGCCTCAAACTCACAGAGATACTCCTGCCTCTGCCTCTCAAGGGCTGGGATTAAAGGTGTGTGCCACCATGCCTGGCTCACTTGGGATAATTTTCCTTAAAAATTCTAAGTGTGGCTGAGGACAGAGTCTTATGCCTATAATCCCAGCACTCTGGGAGGTAGAGGCCAGTGGATTTCTGTGAGTTCAAGGCCCTCCTGGTCTACAAAGCAAATCCAGGACAGCCAAGACTACACAGAGAAACCCTGTCTTGAAAAAAAAAAACCAATAATAATAATTCCAAGTGTTAAAATTCCCAGAACGTTCTAGGATTTCCCTGGAGATGCACATACTGGGTTTGGCCTTAATAGAGACCACACTACCAGTGTTCTTTTTGGAGAGCGTTGGTTTTGGGGAAACAGGGAGAGTGTCTAGGAGCAGCAGTGTGGGCTCCAAGCCAGGAGTGCTTCTATTAGGAACGATGGGACTTTGGCCGTCCCTTGTCATTTGTGGTCTACAGAACAGAATCAGTGTGGCCAGTCATCCAGCAGAACATGCAGGAGCATCATTCTGTAAGTGTGACCTGTGTTCCAGGTACTGCTCATGGCTCTTTTCCTGGAGTCTGTTCTGTGAGGAATGCAAACAGATCATAACACAAGCACACGCATCAGTGATACAGATTGCAAACATACTGCTAAAGAGAATGGGGGGGGGGGGTCCAGAATGAGGAGCCAGCTGAGTCTCGGTCACAACTGTGCTCTAGAATGCTGGAGTTGAGTCTGCACAAGTAAGGAAGCTGCTCTGCAGACATGCAGGGAAGAATAGGATGAAGTCCAGGTTTGTGCGCCCCTCCCTCAAGGGCTTCAGCCCTTCCAGGGCACCCCTGCTCCCCAGGCACCAGAAGGCTGTGGGGATCTGAACCTCACGGGGGAGCAGAGGAGGGAAGGAGAGCGCTTCCCTCTCCCCTCTGGATCTGAAACTTCAAGGTCCTCTGATTTTCTCCACACATTTCCATCCTGTGTTTGATCGTCTGCTTAAATAAGATCCTTATGGCGAGGCCGCTGCCAGCAGCGCTGCTTGAAACCTGTTAGCTGAAACAAAAAGCCTTCTGGGGAAATGAAAGGCCTGACTTTTGAAATCTAAGCATTCCTATCCATCTGTCTTTTCTCAAATGGCCTCCATTTAAGCTCTTAAATGTGTTCTGAGTGCCCCTTCCACTAAGAATATTCTGGGTAATGTTATGATTTTTCCCCCAGCTACAATTACCCCGGCTCCAGGCCTAACGGCTGAAACGCCGTTGTTGTCGTCTGAGGCAGGAGGAATGTGAAATGCACTTATAGGCTTCTTAGACCTCAGACCCTGGTCTGCATGTCCGCATGAGCATGGGTGCTTGTGTCCTAACAGGTTGCTTTTTTGGGGGTGGGGAGGTCTTGCTTTAAAGTATTTTTTAACCACATTTATTTTGCATGTGTGTATGCAGGTGTGTGCACACGTGAGCTTATAGAGATCAGAATCTGAAGGAGTCAGTTCTCTCCTTCCACCATGTGGGTCCTGGGGGTTGAACTCAGGTGGTCAGGCTTGGCAACAAACACCTTTGCCTGAGTCATCTTGCAGGTTCCAGGTTGCCTTTCAAAGAGAGTCATGGGTTGGGTCCTCTATGCCATGTGAAGATGACTGGGGGTAGGGGGACTTGCCTGGCTAAGTATGCCAGGAGGGTCTCAGAGGAAGCAGGGTTGGGGGAGGTGGGGTCCAGGTCCGAGTCCTGGGTTCTTGCCTGCTATCCCCTAGCAGAAGAGCCAAACTGTACTAACCAGGAAGTAGTGGTAACCGCCTGTACCTATCAGCTGGCCACTGAGATCTGAGGAAAGAAGCCTTTTTGAGTTTCCCTCCTTCCTTCTCTCCCTCCTGGGCTTCCTTTTTTTTAAAATTTATTTATTTTTATTTTATCCACATTGGTGTTTTGCCTGCATGGATGTCTCTGTGAGGGTGTTAGATCCTGGAATTACAGACAGTTGTGAGCTGCCATGTGGGTGCTGGGAATTGAACCTGGGTCCTCTGGGGCAGCAGCCCCAGTGCTCTTAACCGCTGAGCCATCTCTCCAGCCCCCCTCCTGCTCTTCCTTTTCTTCTTGTTTTGTTGTGTTTTAGAGATAGAATCTGGTTATGTAGCCCAGGCTGGACTCAGACTTGATCCTCCTGCATCAGCTTCACAGCTGCCAGGGCTGTGAGCATGTCATACCGCTGCAGCTCTGTTGTCACTCCCTGTTTGTTGGCCTGAAGGACCCCGCCGAGCTTGTCAGGGTGCCATACAGGCAGACACCTCACAGGTGCTCCTCAGCAAAGACTTGAGCTAGTGCTGGTCTTGGAGTGTCCCTGGGAGAAAGGCCTGGGCTGCTCCCTCGACCCTGATCTGGCCAAGGTCTTCAGCTCTGTGGGGAGCGGTGGACAGGCTTGAACTTGGAAAGGAGGTTTCTTGTTTTATTTGGGAGTTGAACCTAGGGACTTGAACACAGAAAGGTTTCTAAAGGCCCTGCTCTTTGTGGGTAGGCACATTTGCAGCCCAGAGCCCTCAAGAGACTACACACAGCAACTCTAACCCCTGTGCACTCTAAGGGCCATCCCTGTGAAGTCTGGAGCTCTACAGCCACCCCCAACCCTCAGCTTTCACCTTTCATGTGGCTCATAGCTCACCAAGGTGGGGGCCCAAGAGACAGCGATCATACTTCTCCTCTCTTAACGTTAATCCCAAATTGAAAGGGTGTAAGGCTCAATGTTCCCTGGGAGAAAGGAAGGCAGTGTAAGGCCCTGTGGGCCACCATGTCAGGGCGTGTTCATCCTCAAGAGTGTCTAAGGCTTCTCTACAGGTAGTCACATCTTGCCCTCCTCTTTGTTACTCCCTCACGTGGTGAAATTTTTACTTTATATTTCTGTGTGTATGGATGTTTTGCCTGCACGTATGTCAATGTACCAGTTTCATTCCTGGCACCATGGAGACCACAAGAGGATAGAGGATGTTGGATTCCGTGGAACTGGAGTTACAGGTGTGAGCTGCCATGAGTGTGCAGGGAATCAAACTTGTATCCTCTGGAAGAGCAGCAAGTGCCCTTAATGGCTGAGACATCGTTACAGCCTCCCCCAGTCTCACTTGTTAATTCTCTTCTGTCTAATCATCCAGCCCTGAGATCTCCACCTTCGCTAACTAACAAAACACAGTCTTCATGTGTGCTTAGCCCTGTGTGTTGGGGAAGTGGCTATGTTCCCTTGGGAGCCAGGCACTCAATTTCCCAGAGTGTCCAGATCCAGTGCCTGCTTCTGTAACTGACAGCTGTCTTCTTATTACTTACTGTTTGAGGCCTAAGGAGCCTCCAGCAACTCAGGGAGGCGATGGGCACCAACTGACTACTTTGATGGTAAACACAGAGGAATCAGGGAAACACTGGTATTTGTGGCCAAGGCCCTTGGCAGTCTTTCTGTCAGTTCCTCGAAGTAGCCTATGAGTAGCAGATGGTAACCTTGTTTTCCACAGGAAGAAGTGAGGCTTGGAGCTAAGGTGTTTGCTGCATTAGCCAGTCTGCCAGCTTCTGAACCTTTGCTTTTTAAGAGTCTCCAAAAAGCCTCTTGGTGACTTGGCCTCTGAACTTAAGGCAGCTGAGCTTGGGCTAAGCGTCTCTGGGATGATTCATAGGACCGTCTCCTTCCTTCAGGTCACCGTGGAGTAACAAGTATGATCCTCCTTTGGAAGATGGGGCCATGCCATCGGCTCGACTGAGAAAGCTGGAGGTGGAGGCCAACAACGCCTTTGACCAGTACCGAGACCTGTGAGTTACCTGTGCTCGGGGGCTCTGACGGGGAAACTGACAGGAGCACGTGGCTGGGCTAAGCACTCTTCCTTGGCTCTGCTGCCTGGTCACTTGGTTTGCGACAAGTTGCTGCCCTATGCAGACATGACCATATCACTCTGTTACCATTCACAACAGTGGCAGGTAAGTGGGGAGAGCACCGACGAGTGTAAGACAGGCAGGGCAGGCATTTTGCATTCCCACTGTCTCATGTCCTCGCAAATGAATAGCTTTTTCAGTAAAAATAAGGCGTTTAGATGCCACAGTGGCACAGGCAGCAGATAGCACTCACACAGAGAGAATGAGGAATTTGTCCAAGGCAAGGGCAGAGCCAAGACTCAAACACAGATAATCAGTCACACATACACAGCTGAGACACAGTCTCTCTATGTAGCTCAGGCTGCCTGAATTTGTGATCCAAGTGTGGAGGTTACAGGTGTTACAGCACAGCTCTTAGATAGGATTCTGTTGGACTGGAGCTGGGGCGCCCATGCGGTGACTGCCCAGTTGCCAGGGCAGAATGAGCTGAGTCTCATGCAGTGGGTATGGCAATCCCTTTCCAAACCAACATCTTTTTGCCCGCCATCCCTTCCTCCCTCCCTCCCTCCACGTGTGTACCTGTTTGCATCTGTGTGTGACATATTCACACATGGAGGCCAGAGGGCCATGTCAAGACTCATCCACCATCACTCTCCATTTTACTTATTGAAACAGGGTCTCACCTGTTTGGCAGGACCCACTGGCTAGCAAACTCTAAGAATCCTCCTTATCCCAAACCCACCCATCCACCTAAGTGCCAGGGTTATGGGCTCATGTGGACATGTCTAGCTTTTTACATGTGTGATGGGGATCAAAACTGAGGTCTCCATGCTTGTATCTCACCAACCAAGCTACCTCCTTAGACCTCGACTAACAACTCTGAATCTTCAGCTGATCAGGGCACCAGTTCATGGAAGTATTTCAGTGTTCTTTCCATTCCTGTTTGCTCTAATTTTGCATATCACCATGCCACTGAGACGCTAGGTCGTTAAGCTGTCACTCTTTTGAGGAAGGGCTCCAGAGAAGGCTATGTGTTTAATCAATAGAATCTCATCTTAAGTTCTGTATTAGAAACACAGTAGTACGGAGTTGGTACAAATCCCCCGCCCCGCGCGCTCCTGGGAAGGGCCAGATAGTCACCATGTTAGGCTTGCAGGCCGCAGAAGGCTGAGCTTGGTTGTGCCTTTTTGTATGTCACCTCTTGAGCCCTGAGGTGGGTGGGATTTGACCCTGCCTCTCTGCTTGCCTCAGCCCTGGTCTAGCCTAGAGGCAAGAAGATAGAAGTGAGAGAAGCAGCGAATTTGAGCAGTGACCCTGTGGTGAGGGCAGGCTATGGCTCCAGCGAGCACACTGTGGGCTGGTCTTTCCCAGTCACCTCAGCTTGCTGTGACACGTGTGGGAGGAAAAGGCTCCTTTTCAGTGTGACATATGGTCATCAGGAAGCCATCATGGTCTTAAACATTTCAGTCCCTCCCCCACATACTTGCCTGTGTGGCAGATCGCTCTCAGTGTCTTAAATGGCAAGGCTTTACATACTGATGCCTTTTAATTCAAAGTTAGAAGGTCCCCTTCCTTAAGGAGGGCGCAGAGATTGAGAGAGCTGAATTCAAATCTCCTTTTGCTTTGGCATTTACATAACTGTTATTCTCACAGTATCTAAGTAACTAGGGGTCTCACATCTCTGATTTGCCCCTTTGTGGGATCGCTCCTCTGGGTGGTGCTAAAAAGCTGCCCTGTTATCCTTTATTTTTTTTTTCCCTACTATCTGATTTCACCTCACCATAAAAACAGCTTCAAGTGAATGAGTTCTTCAACCTGAGTGGCCAATGGAGTCACTTTCATGTTGCAGGAATATTGAGCGTAAGACAGCAGTGGTAATAATAAGTCACTGTCCATTGACCGTGGAGTGTGACTGCCTCCTTAGGGACCATCCTCTCACAGAGATGAACGGACATGTTCAGAAGTTCAGAGCAGCTTAGACAAGTTCAGCAGCCAGAACTTGGCAGAAGTAGGGGACAGCACCATCCTGTTCTCTTTTCTTTCTGTTGCTGTGATAAAACACTTGACTAAAGCTAGCTTGGGGAGGAGCAGGCTTATTTCTCTCGTGGGTTTCATTTGACCATGAAAGGAAGAAGCAGGAGCTCAGAGACCATGGAGGATCGTTGCATACTGTCTGCATTTTCGTGGCTTGCCCATTAAACCTTTCCTGTATAAGCTGGGGCCATCTTCTGAAGGGTGGCACTGCCCACAGTGGCCTGGGCCCCTCCCATTACTCCCACGTAAGTCATTAATCAAGAAAATGCCCCCACAGACTTGCACACAGAGCAGTCTGGTAGAGGCAATCCTGAATTGAGGTTTCCTCTTCTCGCGTGACTACATTGTGTGAAACTCATGACAATTTAGCAGTACACATCTCCACCCAACCCCAAAGTCATTCATTCGTATGTGCAATGCGCAGAGGCCTTTGAGTGCCTCTCTGATGAAGGTATCAGAAGAACTAACAGCACACATTGAAGTGAGTCAAGCCATCAAGTAGGTGACAGGAAAGTAGTGCCGCGCTGCCTTTTCAGGTGGCTCTGGAACTGAAGACTGGTGTCCAAAGGCTCCAGGCGGGCAGAGGAGCTCTGGTACCAGTGCCCCAGGCTGCCACCCTGGGCAATCACACAACTTGGCTCTGAAATCACAAGAGGATTTGAAAGCCTGTCATATTTAGCCCCTTTATAGTTTTGAAAGTTTGTCATAGACCAACCACCTTAGGACATTCTGGGAAGACAGCCTGCTGCCAGCCAAGCGTCAGATGGGAGTGGGCAGTGGCTCTCTGAAGTGTTGGGTCTCCACGTGTCGGGGGAGCCGAGCTACCTCGTGATCCTGCAGAGCTGTGGAGGCCACCCAGCTTCCCCATGACCCTTGAGGCTGTCTGTTTAGGTTTGGTGCCAAGGCTGTTTAAACAGCTGAGGTGTTTCTCCCTTAGTGAAATGGTTCTGATGCATTGCCATCAGGGCTGCCATCAGGGCCAGGTCTAGGTGGAGACCACACTGCTCTGCTGTGCTCTGTCTCTGTTTGTCCCCTAGCTCACATGCGAGAACACTGCTGAGAAGCTTGGTTGGTTGGCCATTATGGCAGACATCTCTCTTTTGTCATTAAGGGCTGTATGAAGGTGGCAGGATGGACTCTATGTTTTTGATGTCCTGAGGTTCCAAGTGTGCTGGGCAAGAAGAAGGGGAGAGTACAGAGGCTCAGGAACAGGAAGGTCCCCCTGCTTGGCTGATTACTGTGAGGCCAGCTTCTGCCCATGTGACAGGAGACACAACTCACTTGAGGGAAAGTTTGGGGGTTGTCATGTGGGTCCTACCATCCATTATCATCAGAGCCTAAGGAATTTCCCAAGAACACATGGTAGGACTTACATGACTTGAACCACCCCATTTCTGGGGCAAATATTAAGAAAACAAATCATCTTTTTTTCTCATTTTTTAAGCACCTTAGTTCCTCAAACTCATTCTCAGCTTCTCAGCACCTGGGTATTGTTTGTGTGATCATCAGTGGCCCTGGAGCCAGAGGCCTTTTCCGCCTCGCTTTGGAGCAAGAAGTCTTAGGTGTTCAGGAGGCCTTTGTGGCACTGAGGGGTTTTTCCACATTGTTGCCTGGTGTGTGGGGGAGGCAGACCGTGCCTTTCTCTCGTGGTTCCTCCTGCCATTGAACTATGCCCACAGGAAGATTCAGTTGTCACCCCCATGAGTGGAGCTGCAGGGATTCAGCGCTTACCTTTTCTTCATGTTGGCAAACAAACCAGACACACAGGCCCCTCTGGGAGGAGACATCTCACCCAGTGCTAGATATCCCCATGAGGGTCCAAGAAGGCAGGCTGGCTTCAGGCCCAGTGAAAATACACCTATCTTCAAGCAAAGCCACCCCTTCCAGAAGGAAAAGGAACAATTGAACATCTGGCATCTCCTAGCAGGCCAGGCCCCATGCTGTGCCTGAGAAGGCTGGGTAACTGAAGCTGGTGTGGCATGACTGGGGTGTGTGAAAGCATTCCCATTTTTAACTTCCAATGGTTCCTAGTAGTTGGGAATTACTGGATCATGGCAAGTCAGAGAGTAAAGGCCATGCTTGATCTATGCTCAAGCCTTCAACCACCTACCTAGTATATGAAGAACTCCCAGGCTCCTCTCAGAACACTGGGCTGCTGTGAACCTCAGGGGACCCTTCTGTCTGTGCACTAACCCTCCCTAACACTAACTTACATGGAGGTTTGACTGTACTCCTAACAGTGCAGGGCCTACATGGCTGTGCTGCCCATGAGACCCAGTGTACAGCAGCAACAACGCATGCATATAGTCATGGTCACCTGCCCTAAGCCTGTGACCTAGTCTTTATTCCTCGAAGTTCTTAGATCATGGAAGAAGAGGGCAGGGAGTATCAGCTCTTCAGAGATGGGGAGTGCTCAGTGCCTCCTGAGGGGTTTCTGCCATGAGTGCAGAAATCCTTGCCATGAGCTCCAGGGAGAGGCTAGATTGTTATCTTCAGGCCCCGGCTTTGATCCTGGTCTGTGCAGATTTTGACTTTGCAGGGAATTGGAGGTAATCCCCAGCACATGGAGTCTGTCTGGGCTGGAGTGGCAGCTGGGCCAGGGTCGCTGCCTTGCAGACCCTCTGGCTTATAACTCCCATGCAGGCCTGTGAACATTTCTCAATTAGGGATAAAGGGCTAGCGGTCCCTGAGGTAGACAGGGAAAGTAGGACCCAGGGAGCCACGCTGGGGTCCTCCCTTGATGCCTTTGAAGTCTCTTGGTTTCCACTTTCCCTGTTCCCTGCCCCCTCCAGCCTCCCCTTCTCTGTTCACCACCCCCCTCATTTTACTGCCTTCCTTCTTTGCCATCTTGGGCAGAAATAATCACAATAACTTTTTTAATTCCTCCTGGAGAGCACCTGGGACAC